TTTGGTAGTGGTAGGACGTTAAGCTGAAACACAGCAAAACGGCCTCAAATCGCGACAAGAACAGCACAGACTACTCTGTATGAAGGTAAGACTTTATTTCTTTGATTATTTCACACAACTTTATATTTACGGAGCTCAAAAGCAAGTCGAACTAAACCACTATACAAACTCTATAATGATCCACTGTGAAAGAGCCTGTGACAGAGCCTGTGACAGAGCCTGTGACAGAGCCTGTGACAGAGCCTGGGCCGCCTGGTGATTTATGCAGTGATCCCCATTCCAAGTGATGTTAATCAATATGCAATCGACCAACATCCTCCGATTGGATGAAATTCGACTTTCGAGTCCTTGAAATTAGTTCAAACACACTGATAAACTGTCATGAATTGTCTACGGTGATTAGATTAATTCGGCAAACAAACAACAATACTCAAAGCTGCTTATTATAAACTCGTACCATCCAATGTGCATGTCAAGACATCCTTTGCAATATCTGTGGCCAAATCTCGTAAGAACTGGCTCCTTTAGCGGTAAATGACAAATTAGACATTTCAAATCTTCGTCAACTGGTTCCACAAAGTTCTCGTCGTAGACTGAGGGAGACTCCGCCATATTGAAATCCACCCGAGACACGAAGGTTGATGATGAAATAAACAAAGAATTTAACCATTGCTTGAAAATATTTTTGTGAGGCAATTACATGTGACTTCCTGACAGTAGGAAAAAAACACTGCTTTTACATCATGAGCTACTTCTTAGTCTCGAAACGCGTAGCTCGTGTACTTTCCTCGTATATTTGTTCTGGTTTATTTTTAACAATTATTCCTTCGTTAGTTAACAACTGTTACTCAATGGGTTTCATATTTCAATCAGTTTCAAGCACACATATTAGGTATTGTATTTCATACTTTACTACGACTAGTTGCTGCTAATTCTACCAAATTTTTGTGGACTATTAACGAATCATCCTCTATCAACGAGTTATCTACTATCGTTAGGAGCTAGAGCAGAATAAGTCTTCCCTAATTTACTCTTAAGATATTTCCTTTTTTGGTATGTATTATTGTTTTATCTATCGCTTTCAGTTCACTTTATAATCGCTGCATTGTTATTAGGCTAGTGTTACATTTTTGGGGGATATTTTCTTAGTTTAGTTTCTGCTGTATTTCCTTTTAGTTCGAGAGACACAAATTCAGCTATAACCTTCAATTATAACTTTGCACCCTTCAATCCCTATCGCCCTTCAGTTTCATCCCTCCGATTTTTCTATTCTCATTTCTAATTTTGATTATCTACTGCATTTACTCAAACCTTAATTTCCACTGTGCGTTCGAATTGTCTTCTACGCTTTCCTTGTGAAAACTCCGACATACCTGGTCCATCTAAGTCTTTGTTTGTGGGAATTATATGACAAAATCAAAAGTTGGCGAGTAAAGGCGCAACTATTATGATCTTAGGATAAGTTTTCTGGTATCAACAACGTTTCCCTATCATGCACAGAGCCAGAGTTGTATTCGACCGTTTCTCCAACTGAGGTCACGATACAATTGCAGTTCGACCTAATCTCGTTTATAAATTGTTGAGAATTGTGATCGCGTTACATGCCTGAGGTAATCCTATTTGCGACAAGGTTGTTCGACTAACAGGATATAAGGGCAAATTCGTCACGTTTGCTCCCTGTGGCTTGTTTCTATTTTTGTAATGTCGGGCGATTATTAAACCGGTGTAGGAAAGCATAAAGCTGGATTTTCGCAAGTATCAATTCACGAACAAATAAATTCCTTGCTGTTCTTACATAAACATAGTTTGTCTTGCATATCTAATAGTCCTAATAAACTAAACTTAATGAATAAATCAGCCCTCGCCGCCCTCGCTAATAATCTGTTTCGCTATGCACCGCGTTATCAGTGTCGTATATATATTTGGAGGAACTGTAGTCTGTTCGCAAAAGTCACAGTCGCTTTAGGGGACCGAAGGCATATTTGCCGCGGATCAAAAGCCGGTCCATGCTCCGAAGTTTTTTTTTTTTTTTTATATCTTAAATTTTAAACTCAAATTGATCAATACTTCGATCTCGAATGAAAAAGTGGAAAACAAAAAACAGCTCTAGGGAACCGGTAACTTCGGAAACTTGTAATAAACGGGCACCCAGACATCAGCCCAGAAGGGAATCATAAGAAACAACTTACATGGAAAGCTATTCCAAAAGTTACGTGAGTTTATTTCCAAATTTAAATCAAAGAACTTATAGTACAAAACATCACCCAGAAACCCTTTCCTTTATGTCACCCTTACACATCTTTAGCTTTCGTTGCTATTTGGTTTACTTTGTAAATGATCACTTACCGACAGAAGCGAGTCGGAAGTATCATAGCAACTAATAGTAACAATGATAACTTTTATTCATATGGCGGTATTGCCATGCTCATGGCGCATCACAAACATCTGTGTTAAACAATACAGGCAATAATAAAATCTCTCTGACAAAAAAAAAACCTCGGCTGATTTCGCTATCAATCTTAAAAAAGTATGCCTACATTTTAATAATATCTCACTTCGTTTGCCTGAGTTGAGGGATTTTCTCAAGTTTTTGTACCGCAAAAAAAAAGCAAAATAAAAAAAAAATAAAAATAACTGGAATTAATTCGAATCTTACTGTTGAAGCTATCATGGCTAGGAGTATCCAGGATACAGCATCTTAATTTTCATCGCATTCAATGAAAATCTATTGTTACATATTGCTGATGGGATTGTGTATTTGGTGCTTAGTGAGTTCACTAAACTAAATAGTTTCAGATGTTTATCACGGATAGTAAAAGATTTATCCGATTTAATCTGTGATGTAATATGACAAAATCATATCGAGATGATATATCTGTCCTATTCCTTAATTTACTTTCAGGACTGGAACATGAAATCAACTTGATGTTGACTTAATCTCAACCTGAAGAAACAAAGTGTCATCCACAATGAAGCGTCTCGCATAAAGTTCCTCACGAGAAACGAATTCGTCAAAACCCCATCCTATGTTTTCGTCTGTCACAGGCCTTGCAAAGCTTTTAAGATCTTTCCCGACGAACTCCTTAGTTTTGTTTTGCCGTTGGCCTGGATTCTCCTGTTGATCAATCAATGTCAACTTAACATTCTCAGCGAAAGGCCAGGGTAATATAACGTCATATTCTCCCTTCATTACGATAATGGAAACCGAAAGATGAGTATTTTTGCCATTGCCAAAGCCATTTGGATAAAATTCTACTTTTAGCTTGTAGCCATAACTTTCTGTTCCAATTTTTGTGTAGAATGGATCACTGCATATATCATTTTCGTCTTTATCGGTCTGTGCCCGTTTTAAAATCTCACTGAAACCGTCGATCCGCCAAAGAAAAGAGTTTGTATGTTTTACACTTAACAACTTTAGTTGTTTGACGGCCTCTTTCAACTCAACTTTTGTCTCACTTAACTCAACTTTTGTCTTACTTAACTCAGCTTTTGTCTTACTTAACTCAGCTTTTGTCTTACTTAACTCAGCTTTTGTCTTACTTAACTCAGCTTTTGTCTCAATTAACTTAGTTTTTGTGTCCATTAACTCATCTTCGGTGTTATTATTCTTGGAATAAGTGAAATCAAGATGGACTCTTGTTGTTGAATCAAGATGAGACTCCATTTCCTGACGCTGGACCTGCAGGAAAATGTACTTCTTGTTAACTAATAACTTTTACGGATGATAAATTATTTTGAGCGCTTAACATAGGATAGGGTTATCCAAACCAGTCGGACTTTCTTTTAAAGCCACGAAACTACCAAGGAAAAGGTCATTTATTGCATGTGCGGCTCTGAAAGCGTGAAAAGTAAGCGAGCTGATTGGCTACAAGTGGGTGAAATGGGCCTATCCGTCTTACCCTGACCTGTGGCTTTCTAATATAACTAGTATTCTGCAGAAAAAAGGATTTGGTTAACTGGTGTTCAAGTGAGACGAAATGTGATGGAAGAATTTATCTTACTCAAACGACACGTTTTTAGCAATGTAATAACATCGTTCAGTCCGCGTCGTCAGAAACATAACATCAGTTTTACGTCCAGCGTTAGTAATAAACTCTCTCTTGGGAAAGATCCTGGATGCGCCATCGAACCGGAACTGTCTGACTTCATACCGCAAAAGACACGGCAAAACAATGAATTTCTTCTAGCCAGGTAACATACTTTGTAACTTCTGGGAAAATTATTCGTGACAAGAAAATAGTTTCCGGAACATGTAATGAAAGCCGAAAAAAAAAAAAAAAAAATTATAAAAAACGAATAATTTTGTGCTTTCATTTTTCAATTCGTTGTTGCCAAGTTTCTCTCGAATAGAGTAAATCGTTCATTGACAAAGCGTGCCTTGTCTAGTGTACATGCGCTATTGAACAAGTTTGAAGTTAAGACCGTTGAATAATCGTCTAATAATGTAAACGATTTTCTAAAACATATAGTGGCAGATGTCTATAAATTAAAGTTTTTGCACAGAAAGCCAAATGCACATGCTGCTTCTCTCTTGGCCTCTAGTCTAATTCCTTACCTTTTGTTTACAACCAACCCGTGCAAAGGGACAGGAAAGGATTGTCCGCGGACATTCATCTTCAGTGTGAGTCGAAACCTGCATCACATCAGGTAAATGACTAAGTACTTAAGTGTAGGTATCTACTGTGGGTACTATACTGTTCAAGGAGTTACTTTTAATTATTGTTAAACGATACAGCGTATCCACCAACTGAGAATAAAGAATAGAGGCATGCAACACGATCTCTGGGACTGAACATATACATTCGGGCGCGCGTAAAAACAGTGGATGTCAGGCAAAGTCTCAAACTGTTTCACGCTCATCCACTCTTTTAATCGTCACCTCGATTAGCCGAGAGTCTGGAACAGGCTATCAGGACGGTGGAAATAAAATCTAATGAGAATCGCTTTAGCACTGTCTGTAGACTCGGAGAGATTGACAGAGATGCCAGCGTTTCGTAAATATTCAAAAATTGGCCCATCAAGGGGCTGATATATTAGAATGAAGTTTTCAAAACAATTCTTTTCTGCACTCCTTCCCTAGCCATGTGCCCGATGACCCTAGCCAATGCTTTCCGATCTCTTCTCTTGATTTCAATGACTGAGAGCGTAGTACCCCTAAATAAAATCTGGGAGTGAGCGACAAGTGTCGGAGTTGCTTTGGAGGGAATACGAAAAAAATGAGGTTGAATCACCTTAAGAATTATTGTAGCCTATATAAAAATTGTTGGCATTTTCCGGTCGTAAACAAGCAAATTTTAATCAAGCAACTTACAGACAGACATTTCATATAATAAACACCTTTAGCTTGTATATAGAAAGGACAACTTTTAACGACTAAGAAGAGGAAAGCCTCACCATATCCCTTGAAACTGAACGACCACAGTTGTTTGGACAAGTCACTGGAAACTTATTGCACTGTTTAAAGTGTTCCTACAAAAAAAGAATCCAAGAAACACAGACTGGGATGTGTAAATTGTATTTCACAATATATCTGGTTCTCATTATCATAATAGTTGTCCCCTCAGGACTCGGGCGTTTAAAAGCTAATACAATTTTGTTTATACGCGCTGATTCTCCTTTGATTTTAATTGAGGAAAGATTGCCTGGCGAGGAGTGTTATACATTGAGTCTAAAGATGTTGCAGAATGTATTGTTGGGGAATTCAATGACTCTCACAGTACTTACTGGCATTTTGCACGCTGGGTGGGATTCAGAACAATGTGTGCATTGAAGGATTCTCCAGACACACCTAAGAGTTTCATGTTGTTTAAGAAGTCTTCTTATGACGATTACGCCACAGTTTTTGTTGGAACACAGCACTTGATGAACAGGACAAGACCTGAGGTGGACCTTTTTCAAAAGAAAAGCACAACAGAGCATTTAAGGTTAATTTGTTCTGTCTTACAGCTAAGGATCTCAAGTCTCCCTAACCCAATGTCCATTCTTCACCATATAGGAGCCACGAATTAAAAGGAAAAGTTGCTAGGAGAATAAGGTTATTATGCGGATGAAGGTGTTCATTCAGCTACATGTAAATCACGTGACATTCAGCTACATCGGATGGGTGTTGGTTTTTACCTCCTTGTTCCTCAGTTCGCCAGTCCATCCACAGCTATCATTTGGACATCTGATTGCAAGAGAGAGAATCTTTCTTTCTGTTGCTTTATCAGGGAAAATGTCCTAAAACAAGATCATCACATAATTGTATACTTATGTCCCCAGCCTGAAAATAAAGTCCTAAAGTTTCAATTAAAATTAAAGTTAAGAGCGTGTCCACGAGAAAACCGGGCAGGGGGCGCTAAACCTCACATCCCTGATTTGGCTCAAACTTGGCAGAAATGCTAAGTATCATTAGTTAACAAATGTGTCAAAATAATAAGTCAAAATACTTAATTCCTTAGGAGATATAGGGTCCCCCTTGAAAACCCCCATTTCTTGCATTTTTGGCATAATTAATTGGCTAACTTTGCATTGCTGCTGCGACAAACTGAAAATCTATTCGCAAATTAAATCAACTGTGTCGTATTCTATATCTATTAGAATTTAAGAAAATTGAATTGCTTTAACTTTTTCATTTCATTTGATCCCTTACCTCTCGCTTAAGTAAAGACGACTTTTTCAGCCATATTTGGATTATTCTCGAGGAAACGCAACGTTTTATGATAAACATCAAGGGCGCATGCAGTCGAACTTTCTGACAAAAGAAATCTAGGAAGAAACTTGATAGGACATCCATGTCTCTGTGGTTCCTCAGTTGTAACTTTTGGCTTGATATCATTTGTTAGATAGGTAGCCATTATGTCAACAATGTACCAGATTCGATTTGCTTCGGTGCATTGTTGAAATTTTAAGAGCGTGTCTCTGTAATTTACGACCACTCGAAATTGGTTCAAAAATAAATCTTGCCTTAAACGTTGCATGTGGATAAGGAAACCATTGCTATCATCGGAACAAAAGTAGTTTCCCTCAGATTTCAAAATTTTTCATTTTTGAACAATTTTCCGCACGTAGGTCGAATCGTGAAATTGACATCATTTGTGTACACAAAATGAGCAATCTTTATTAGGATCTCACGCTGTCAAAACTGATTTAATACGAGAGATATTCTGGAATACAACAGTTTTATACAGCAAATTTCCAAGTGTGATTAAAAAGTATCTTGATAAATGTATACACAGTCGTCACGTCAAATATGCCACTACTCGACTAAGCGAAAAAGTGGTACTTTTTAAGTTGCGATTTCTCCGTACTGAGACAAAACTAGATATCAAGAGTTACACACACTCAACAACCGTGCACGAGAGCACCATATTCCGTAAAAATATCCATGGCAATTATCGCGGGAAAAATATCAAGCGAAGTGGAAATGTGAGATTTTCAAATACCTGTACAGCGCTTCTTTCAGTAATTTGCATTCGTAATTATCCACAATGAATCACAAAATAATCGCAAATTAACAGCACAGTGCACTTACCAATACTGTAGAATGTCTGTAATTCAGGTTATATTGTCCGAAGGTCCAAGGATTCCAAGGATTTCTTTTCGGGTGCGCGTCTGTAGGAATTTAGGTTATTTATTCTGAGTGACGATTGAGCGGCACCGGGTATTTGTATTCTAGCACTGTAATCCTGTCTATCTTCCAACCTTAAAGCCATGCTGAGAACAGTATCCCCTAAAATACACAGCTCCATCCGAATTCAAGTGGTAAACGGTTCCAAATTTGCCGGTCATTTGTAAGAAATCGAGTGACATTCATCGTGACATTCTTCTCTTTGATAAACAACCCTGTGGCCTCGATTGCATGAGAATCTAGACAGCCGCAGGCCGGGGGGGGGGGGGGGGGCAGTCATTGGAGACAACCGCATTCTGTGACCAGTTCTTCTATCTTTGCAACAGTCTTGTTTTGTGTCCTTCGATGTGTAAGGTATCTCATAACAATCACGAATTTCCTTGAGAATTGAATTATTCACAAACATTGAAAGTGTCATAGATAATGGGGTGTTTCAAACCAATGTGCGCAGCGATAGAGTTTAGAAGCTCTACTTCATCTTCAAATCCTTCCCATTGAACTCCCGCTGCCTCCTCTCCTTCTAAAGGTGTTGAATGTTTTCGAGAGGACGCTAGCTTGGAGAAGAAGCTTTTTATCTGGCTTTCTTTTAGCCATTCCTCCCTTGAGAAATGTCTGTCCCCTTCCTCGTTTCTTCACAAGTGCTCGTCGAATATCTTCTGCATCTTCTTTTGGAGTCAGTTTGTTACCAGTCACCATCCCAAGGTCAAACTTTGTCGTTAGATAGGCCTTTTTAGCTCTGCAAAACGGACATTCTCTGAACCTGTTGCCAACGCCCATCCTTGACACAATTCTGAACAACTGCCAAACAGTAGGTCCTCTTGATTCGCTGTGTCTTTCTTTGTCTTCAAATTGGTGATGGTAGAAAACTGCTTAGCCCAGTCTCTTCTTAGGCAATCATACAAATTTTCTTTTGGCAGCCTTGCGGAGGATTGGTTGTCTCCAACATCTAGATGGAGTTCCAAATCAGACAATGTGTCGAACGATTTGTCCGGCGCACCCTGGCTCATTACAATCAAATACGCCAATTTATTCAACGCCTCAGTTTTCCTCTGTTCCTCTCTTTTTGTCCATTGTTCTACGTTTTCAAGGAAAGAATCCATGTGTATTGGAAACGTTTAATAAGGAGGAATGGACTAGATGTTTCTTGTACATGGATTTTGTTGCAACCGTTTTACCCTTGCTGATACTGTAAGCCCTCCAGATTCTGACCTTATTCTTTTCGAACCGAAAGTTGTGATATTTGCTAAGCCCTTGTATTTTATCGATGCCCAAAGTATTCTTAGTTTCGTCAGTCACACCGACACTAGCAGTTATCGTCGCGTTACTGCTCGTTCTTTTAATGCAGAGTGCATGTCAACAGCAGAGAGGATGTCGTGTCCTTCATCGCGGTAAGTTTTAATGCTTGACTTCTTGTACAGATAATCCTATCGCAAATTGCTTTTCCACTCTGTGGTTCCGAGAAATCATATCCTAAAATCTATACACCACTTGATAGATAGATAGTTTATTTGAAAGATAGATCGTTTATTTGAAAAACATTGCAACCAAAGGTTGAATTACGCATTCATTTACAGTATTAAGAAATATATAAGAAATGGTAACATACTTTTAAAATATTAAAAATTAGGTAACATACAATAAAGTCAGCTTATACAAAGCGTGCGTGAATGATGAAAGATAAAACTATGACGGCACCTGTTCGTACGGACCACAGGTAAATTGAAAGCGCGCTTTATCCTTAAGTCCACTCTAGATACATTCCTGGGCGGCAAGAGCTTATGCAGCCTGCGACCTGGTACAAGAATGTTAGAAAAGAGCTTGTTGGCAATATTCTCGCACAGCTCATGCAGCGAGATAAGCCCAGTGCACGCTAGTGCCTCATCATATTCTTTATCAAGAAAAATTATACGTAATGCGCGCTTCTGGTATCTTTATAAATCAACTGATAGATATTGAAGTAGGCTGCTGTGAAAGAGCGTGCATGCACATTCCATAACAGATCTAATACATGTAAGATAGAATTTAACGAGCTCCTTAGAATTAACCTGGGCGCGCTTTAACTGGCGTAAGAAGTAAAGCCGCTTGTTGACTTTCTTTACTATCTCATCTACATGCGCATTCCATTTAAGATCAACAGAGAAGGTGACACCTAACATCTTAAATTTATGAACGCACTATAACTCCTTACTATTGACCACAATTGGGTCAAAGTCAGGTGAGGATCTTAAAAATGAGATGCGTAGCTCCTTACATTTTACCTCGTTCAACTGGAAACCGTTTGTAGCTATCTGTCGATTTAGATCATCAACAAACCACTGAAGATCACTATTCTGGCTCCTTTGGACACCCCAGATGTTGTGGTGTCATCCACGTACTTCCACATATTGCAGTTTCTAGTAGGCGACAGATCGTCAATCATGATCACAAGGAGCTAAGGGCCGAGCGTTGTGCCCTGTGTGACCCCGGATGGAATGGAGCCCCACTCAGAAGAACAATCCTGGTTAAGCTTTACTCTGCCTTCTACACGTCAAAAAGTCAGTGATCCAGGTAATGATGGGACTTGGTAGACTATAACTCATAAATTTACGGACCAAAATTTTATGATCGATCAAGTCGAAGGCCTTAAGGAAATCAAGGAAGATGGTCCGTACAGTTGCTCCATTTACGTCTGTATCACAGAGCCATGAATGCAGCATACTAATGAGGGCAATCGTGGTATTCGACCTCGACACAGTACAAAACTAATTCACAACCACCCTTGCAAGGACTGCGGGTTTGACGTATCGCTCGACAACGTAATCCTCGGCGAGTTTGACGTATCGCTCGACAACGTAATCCTCGGCGAGTTTGACGTATCGCTCGACAACGTAATCCTCGGCGAGTTTTGATAGCACAGGTGTCAAGGAGATCGGGCATAGGTGTTTATTCACCGGTTTGACGTATCGCTCGACAACGTAATCCTCGGCGAGTTTTGATAGTACAGGTGTCAACGAGATCGGGCATAGGTGTTTATTCACGTCACGAATTGTTTTCTCCTTGGGAACTGGGACGATGTCGGCGTCCTTCCACAAGCTTGGCAGTCTAGCCTCCTGGAACGAGTAGCTAAGGGTATCAGCAACTGGCTGTGCAAACAGGTCAGAATTCTCTTTGAGAAGCCAGCCTGGTACTCCGTCGGGTCCCATTGCCTTAGATAGATATAAGGATAACATCTTTTTGAAAACAGACGGTTCCAGTACTTTCAAAGGACACTGTTCTGCTATAGGACGAGGGAAACTTTCGGCTGCCAAGGGTTCAAAGACATTTATCGGAGCCAGAAAAGCTTTATTGATCGTGTTAGCGATGTCTTGCAAGGTAGGGGGTGTTGATTGGCCACAATCAATGTGTTGGTTCAATGTGGCAGGGTCCAGGCAACCTGATACGCTAGACACACCGCTAAGTTTTTCAACTTCTCGCCACCAAGTAGCTGGCTTAAACTCCTTGAGTTGCTCAACTGTAGACTCATAAAATCTGGCACGACATAGTTTCCTTTCCCTATTTACATGATATCTAAAAACGCGGTATTGATCTTAATCTCCCTCAGCAAGAGCTCTCTGTCGCTTTGCAATGAGCT